TAGGCAATTCTTCGGGCCATTTGCCTTTTGCTGCTTCCAACCTTTTCTTGAGGTTTTGAATAATCACTTTGTTTGTTGACACCGCTTGAATAATCAAATCTTCTAGGAATTTTGTAACTTTTGCACCGATAAACTATGGCCCATTGTCGCATGCTATCTCTTTTGGTATTCCGAACCTGCAAATTATATTTTCCCACAGGAAATCCATCACTTTGCGTTCTCCGATCATCTGATAAGTACCTGCTTCCACCCATTTAGAAAAATATTCAGTCAGAATTAAAAGAAACCTTACCTTTCCAGGAACCGGTGGCAGCGGTCCAACGAGGTCCATCCCTCATGTCATGAACAACCATGGGGACAGAACTGAATGTAAGGGTTCTGCCGGTTGGTGTACTAGTGGTATGTAGCGTTGGCACTTATCACATTTTCGTACGAAGTCTTTAGCATCTTGTTCCATGCGAGGTCCATAATATCCTACCCGTACCAACTTCAGCACCAAAGAATCTGCGCCCGAGGGATTGCTGCATATTCCTTCGTGAACTTCTCTCATGACATAATTAGCTTCTGACGCTACTAAGCACCGGGCCAGCAGCCTTGGAAGGATTTTCTATACAATTGTCTTCTCTTGAAGCTATAACGTCTAGCTTTGGCACGTAACGCCCGTGATGCTTTGGGCAACTTCCTGTGCTCGAGATAGTCGATTATTTCATTTCTCCAGTCCCAGACAAGACTAGTCAAATTTACCTCAGAGTAACCATTCGTATCCAGGACTGAGTTCATCAGTTCCACTACCATCCCAGACTCCGATCCCTTTATTTCCGTTGATAATCCTAAGTTTTCTAATGCGTCCGCTTCTGCATTATCCTCCCTCGGGATATGAGTAATTGACCATTCCCGAAATTGTGCCAAAAGAGCCTAGATCTTTACCACGTATTATTGCATACGTTCTTCTTTGGTATCAAAGATCCCGTAGACCTGATTTACCACCAGCTGCAAGTCACATTTGATTTCGATAGCCTCGGAATCAAGTCCTCGGGCTAATTTGAGCCCTGCAATCAAAGCTTCGTGCTCTGCTTCATTGTTAGTTAAAGGGATCGTTCTAATGGTGTGCCTTAAGTTAGAAGCTCCATCCGTAAATAAGGTCTAAACCCCTGATGTCGATTCCGACACCATTACTGCCTCCTTGGTTGCCAGAGGCAGTAGTGCCGGACTGAAATCGGCCACGAAGTCAGCCAAGACTTGTGACTTAATTAAAGTCCTTGGTTTATATTCTATGTCGAACTCACTCATTTTGATGGCCCATTTGACCAATCTTCCCGAGAGCTCGAGTTTATGGAGGATGTTCCGCAAAGGGAAAGTAGTCACCACACCTATCGGGTGGAATTAGAAGTAGGGCCTCAGCTTCCAAGCAACAACTACGAGAGCTAAGGCTATTTTTTCTAATTGTGGGTATCACATTTCTACTCCCGTTAAAATTTTGCTAATGTAATAAATGGAAAATTGTGTACCTTCGTCCCCCCGGACTAAAACTGCACTTACCGCAAATTCTGAAACCGCGAGGTAGACTAGTAATGTTTCACCTTCTTTTGGTTTTGAGAGCAATGAAGGGCTTTATAAGTACTTCTTCAGGTCCCTCAGAGCCTGCTGGCACTCTGGTGTCCATTCGAAATTATTTTTCTTTTTGAGCAGTGTGAAGAAGTGATGACATTTTTTGGACGACCGGGAAATGAACCTACTCAAAGCTGCTAATCTTCTTGTGAGCCTTTGGACTTCTTTTACGTTCGAAAATTGATTTAGTATATCCTCTATGGCCTTGATTTTGTTGGGGTTTACCTCAATTCCTCTTTCTGAGACCAGAAATCCCAGAAACTTACCAGATTTGACCCCGAACGCGCACTTCTCGGGATTAAGTTTCATGTTATGCTTCCTCAGGATGTTGAATGTTTCTTGAAAATGCTTAAGGTGGTCACCTCCATTCAAAGACTTAATGATCATATCGTCTATATAAATTTTCATAGTCTTTCCTATTTGTTTTTCAAACATCTTATTTATGAGTCGTTGATAAGTGGCTCTTGCATTTTTCAACCTGAAGGACATCACATTATAACAATATGTACTGAAATTCATTATAAACGAAGTCTTTTCCTGATCTTTTGGGTTCATCTTGATTTGGTTGTACCCGGAATAAGCATCGAGGAAACTCATTAACTCGTGCCCGATCGTGGCATCAATCATTTGATTGATATTTGGTAGTGGGAACGAGTCTTTCAGGCATGCCTTATTAAGGTCTTTATAGTCTACACACATGCAAAATTTGTTGTTCTTCAGAACTACTACTACATTGGCTAGCCAGTCCGGATATCTTACCTCTCGGATCAAACCGATATTAAGCAAGCGGGTTACATTTTCTTTGATGAATTTATTCTTGGCCTCGACAATAGGGCATTTCTTTTGTCTCATCGGAGGTACATTGGGATCCAAACTCATCTTGTGCACGGATACTTCCATCGGGATACTTGTCATATCCTCGTGCGACCATGCAAAACAATCGGCATTAAATTTAAGGAATTCAATAAAACCAGACCTGAGCTCCGGGTGCAGTCCTATCCCCAAATGGAATTTTCTTTCTAGGAATTCTTCGAACAATGCAACTTGCTCCAATTCCTCCGCCATAGAGTTTATTGCGTCCGTCTCTTTAGGAACTTGGAAATATCTCGGCACCTGATAATGTTCTGACGACTCTGCTCCTAGGCTAACTTATTCTAGCTCGGGAATAGGTGCTGGTTCCTGTAATTCCTATGTCGTGTGCTTTTTCCCTTTGCTACTTGAAACCGAAATTGCATTCATCTCTCTTGCTGCCAGTTGATCACCTCTTATCTGCTTGATTCCTTCGGGCATTGGAAACTTCAGCAATTGGTGATATCTTGAGGGTACAACTTTCATCTCGTGTAACCATGGCCTTCCCAGGATGATATTGTATCCCATGTCACCATCTACTACTTTGAAGAGAGTTGTTTTCATTACTCCTTCTCCATTCGTGAGCAGCAAAATCTCTCCCCGGGTCGTCACACTCGCAAGGTTGAATCCAACAAAGAGCTTTGTTGCCGGAATAATGCTTCCGGTGAGTTTAGCTTGCTCCAATACTCTCCATTGTATGATATTAGCCGAACTTCCTTGATCTACTAGAACACTCTTAATCTTAAAATCCAACACATTTAAACAAATTACCAGTGCATCATTGTGTGGTAACAACAATCCGTCTGCGTCCTCCTCCGTGAAAGTGATATCGTCTTCCCGGAGTCTTTTACTATGAGTTATTGATACTTTCGTCTTCTTCGCTGCCGAAAAGGTGACCCCGTTAATCTCATTCCCTCCAAAGATCATAGTTATCATTTGGCGTGGGGGTTCTTCTCCTGGTTTTGAAGGTTTCACATTGTCTCTATTACAGCCATAATTGTCCTTAGCTTGGTCACTCAAGAATTCTCTAAAGTGACAATTCTTCAATAGTGTTTCCACCTCTTCCCGGAGGTGTCGGTTGTCCCCTGTTCGATGGCCGTTTGTCCCATGGTATTCAAACCATAAGTTGGGATCCCTCTGGCTAGAATCGGATCTCATAGGTCTCGGGAATCATGCTTCTTTAACGTTTCTCATGGCTGACACCAACTCCACTATACTGACATTGAAGTTATATTCCGATAACTTGGGGTAAGAAGGATCCCGAGACCGCGACGTCTCTTTATCGTGAAGTGATCTATTGTTTCAACCACGATCGATCCTTTTGTAAACATTGAACTTGTTTGCTGCCCGAAAGTTTCTGCCACGGCCTTCGGTCCACTCGTAAGGCAAAAAACGGCCCCTCGAAGTCCATCTGTCCGTGTGGTAGTCATCCTTTAATTTTTCTCTGCTTATCTCCCGTCCCTTGGCCGATGATTTAGAACCGACCTAGTTATCTTTGATCTTTATCTTTGACTCGTACCGGTTGTGGACATATGCCCAATTGTTGCTTGAAACTCAAGCAGTCTCTCCTTCAGATTCCTGGAAGTGTCTGAGCTTCTCGGATTCAATCCTTTGGTGAATGCTTTAGCTGCCCATTCATCTGGGACTGCCGGGAGCAACATTCTTTCTTTCTGGAATCAAGTAACGAACTCTCGTAATAATTTGGATTCTCCCTGTGTGATCCTAAATATATCAGCCTTCCGGGCTTGTACTTTTCTAAACCCGGCATGAGCTTTGGTGAAAGAATCTGTGAGCATCTCAAAGGAATCTAAGGAATGATCGGGTAATAATGAATACCACGTTAGAGCTCCCATCGTGAGAGTTTCTACAAAATTTCTTTAACAACATAAATTCAATTTCGTGAGGAGCTAAATCACTTCCTTTTACTGCCATTGTGCAGGTGGTAATATGCTCATGTGGGTCTGAAGTCCCGTCATACTTTGGCATTTCAGGCATTTTGAACCGCTTTGGGATTAGTTCTGTTGCCGAACTCGGCTTGTACGACAATTGAGTATACTTCTTCAAGTTCGGGACTTTCAATACTGGTGGCGCGCCCAGGAAATGGTCCATGCGGGCATTTATTTCCCTCATAAACCGTAAAAGTTAATTCTTGAATGAGTCTTTCTCATTTTTGAGACAGGGTTTGTTCTCCCAGCCCCGTCGGAGCCAACTTCACCCCTGGGAGTGTTGTTGTCGACTCTCTCTGTTGTTTGGTTTGCGAGAACACCAGGAGGAATTGGATCTCATCTGTTTGCATTATTTGAAGCCCCCGATAACGCCTGCTTTAGCTCCGTCTTAAACTTATCTTGCCGCGTGAGATGACCTAGAATGATCGCCTATTGCTCTTGCAAGACCCTCACCGCATCCACGACATGTTCCTCATCAACATCATCGGGAGTTGTCTCCCTAACCTGTCGTGGGTTCTACATGTCATGCACCAGCGTGGCATCATTTCCCTTATTGAGGGTGTCACTGATTGAATCCTCGAAATGAGACTGATCCCCTTAAATTTTAGGGTTGTACGTGTTGTTAACAGTGTTATCTGCTGGCAGGTATACCATGAAGTCTTCGAACTGGGCTCGTCTCACTGGCGCCTGGACTGGTAGGAGGTACCTGGATCTGCACAAAAAGATGTACAGAAGTGTAGCATAAGTACACCATAATGGTACCTAGCAAGTGCCAAGCCTAACCTCGGTAGAGTAGTGACGAGGCCAGGTCAAGGCCCTACTGGAATAAATAAGAAGTTGGACAGGTATATAACAATGAAATAATGATAGCAATAGAAATGAGACAATAAAGAAATACACCAAGATTAGCTACACTGAACTAAGGAAAATAATGCATCATGGAAGGAAAACAAGGAATGTTATGACACGGAACAAAGCAACAAAACACAAGTGAAGTAATAGAAAAGTATCAACAAGAATCACTACTGAGGTACCTGTTTACCCGTAAAATGACACAGTTGAATTTATACGTAATTTCTAGACAAGTGAACTAATTTGATCATGAAATAATGCAATAATTGAAGAAATGTACAATACTTAACCTTAAAATATAGATGAAACAACAGAGATGACAGTTCCGGGAATAAGGTTTCCGGACACAGCAATGATGAGATCAAAAAGCGGAAAAAGTAAGATTGTATTAAGCTTTATATAGAATGTGGTGTAAGTTTTGCTAGAGAATTTGTGTCCTTTACAATGATAACTAGGCTAACTCTTTATAGTTGTGTCTAGGGAAGGAGGTCCTAGGATCGTGCCCTCCTTTAATGTCAATTATGAGGGTCATTGATGAAGATGTAACAGTGAATATAAATGCCAAATTTCTGTAACGGGTCGTCGCTCTTAATGCTGCAGATTATTCCTTATTACATGCTACCGGGCGCACAACATTTAATACACCTTTATGAACGTTATCCCTTCCGGTGACAAGCGGAATGGTTGTGTTCGGTCTTCGGCCATCCCCGTCTAGGGTTCCACGTGTCTTTCTTTTAGATGACCACGTGTCATATCATATTTCACCCTATACAGTACCGCCTTGTAATCTCAAATCACTAAACAATTCACAATCTTTCCTTATATGACCGCGGGAGCCTTGCATTTAGTTTTGAAAATCATTTTTTCCAAAATAACATCCCACGTTTTAGCCCACCTTATCACACCACGTGGCTTCAAGTAGTACCCCTACTAGCAACATACGGATCAAGCCCACCTTATCTTACCGCATACGTTTCAACCCTAAATTCTTATACCACCGCATACGTATCAATATCACAATGTATCACAAATCACACCTTAAGTGCCCAATATCACAACTTGTCAAGAAACCAACAACAATAGTGTTTTCATAACAAATAGCCCATGGCTCATCCACAATATGCACAAGCATCTCACAATAAAAACCAAAAGTGAATAACGCAACAAGAATAGTATTTCACAACTTTACAATTTTGCCTCAATGTAAATCACGGCCTTTATAACTCGATACTAGTTTCAACAATAAGATATTCCAAAAATAACAACTTCAAGTAAAGAACTCAACGGTTAAATAATGAATAAGGAATAAAGGAAACAATACTTCGACTAAACATGTAAAGGCATTTTACAAGTAAGGGATAAGACAAGTAGAGCATGTGAAGATAGACTAATGATGATGATTATAACATGTTAAGGTAACTAAATTAAGGCGTGAAAGGAATCTACATAGCTAAAATCGGTAAATTTCCACATTTAGCCCGTGTACACACTCATCACTTTGCATACATGGCTTTCCCATATCACTATTAACGCAAACCAATACCAATCCTAAGGGGTAATTTCCCCCCACAAAGTTAGGAAAAATACTTAATTCAAATACACGCTAACTCAATCCACTAGTAAGCCCTTCTCTCGATTATCCAACTCCGAATGGCTCGAATCTAGCCAAAATAACTTCATACCATAAATATAAACTATAGGAAACTATTTCGAACAATAAAGTTACGATCTTTACAAGAAAACAAAAGTCAACTCAAAAAGTCAATCCGGACCCGCATCTCGGAATCCAACCAAAATTACAAAATCCGAACACCCATTCGATGACAAGTCCAATCATACAAGAATTACTCGAATTCGACCTCAAATCGCCTATCAAAAACCCAAAATTTAGTCTAAGAAGTTTTCACAATTTCCCCCCAAATTTCCTATCAATTCACTAATTAAATGATGCAAATAATAATGGATTCGTGCAATATAACCAAAACTGAGTCAGAATCTCTAACCCCAATGAATTTCTTGAAAATCCCTCGAACAATTGCCAAAAATCGAGTTCTCTAGGTCCAGAAATGAATAATGAAATCAAACCCTTGAACTTAGCCCTTTTCTGCCCCGTGAATTCGCATCTGCGAAACCATAGCCGCATCTGCGGCTTTGCACCTGCAGAATTTCCATCGCAGGTGAGGTTCTGACGAGTGCAAAACACAACATGAAATTGATACTCGCTAGCCAAAGATAGAATAGTTTAATTATCATCTCCATAGGGATTGGATTTAAACAATGTCTGAGTAATTTCTGGTTTAATTGCTATTCAGGAGGATCAACACTTGAGTTAAATAATTATGGACTACGTTTAACTACTAAAATAAAGCAATTGACAATTGACTTTCAAGAACTAGAGATTAGCAGAGTTGGTTTCTTATCAATGTGAGGAATAAGGGTTTGACATGATAGGTGCAAGATAGCTATTTGGGATTTAACTTTAGTTTAGTTCACTCTAATGTTCGAATGATTCTCACGAATTCACTCGATGATTAGTTCAAACGTGTATTCAAGACTCCTCTCTCGATTAAATCTTAACTCTACGAGGTGAACTATATAAGCACTGTGAAAGTATGCAAGCATGCGTTAATGGATTAGTCTTTAGGAAAACGTTTTTCGAATATTCTCCTAACTTGATTCAATCAACAATTCAGCAAGCTCTTTTGATTACTTAAGGGAATCAATGAATTAAATCAAACAAAATAATACAAAGATAATCACCAAAATATTCCTCTTTTGATTAAATAGACCGGTGAATAAAGTTGAAACATTCTAAGCTCCATAAACGAATTCAAGCAAAGAACTAGAGTTAAAATCTACAAATATTTATCAAAACACCATATCCATCAAACCCTAAGGGAAACTACTCCATAATGATGGAGGAAGTCATCACAAATATAATTAATGAATAAGAAAATATCAATCTAACGTTACAATCCATACTTCTGTATTGAATTGATGTAAAGATAATGCTTGTAGCCTCCAATTCTCTCCCAAAGCTTCCAAGGTCAAAAGTCCTTTCAAAAGCGTCTTTTTGGTGTGTTTATACCATATAGGAGTGGGCCTAGACGAATCTACCCTTACCAAGCCGAAATAGGAAAAATACTCTGAGAAATTTGTACACGCGCGCCGCCCCATGTGGGGCGCTAGTGGGAAAGTTTAGAGAGCAACTTCTAATGAAAAGCAGCACAAAAACACTGTCACGCCGCCCCATGCGGCGCAGCTGTGCAAGTTTCACAGAGTAAATTGTTTTCTTCATGTTTTGACATCTAAACTTGGCTCCCGACCCCGAAACGCGATCTCGATTTAATCCCTTGGGATTTTACTTAGACTTCAAAGCTCCACATCATTCGATTTAGTTCTAAATTATCTTTTTAACTCGGAATCAATTCCTGCAAGTCATAAAACACATAATAAGTGCAATTCACTAGCATTTAAGCTCAAACCCGAGTAAAATACAGTAATTGCAGTGAAAACTATGACTAAAACACGGGATTCTAGCCTACCATCAACACCCCATACTTAAACCATTGATCATCCTCGAGAAATCTAACTGCACTTCACATAGAGACAACCTTCCTCTCATACAACTTCCCTAACGCATCATGCCTAGAATATTTAAAGCAGACTAAGCACCCTATCATAACATGCTAGCCTCAAGACCCGACTCAAAAGCACCACGTATTTTTCAAAAACCTGCTCACTTACTCAAACGCTGAGGTCAAAGACTTTACCTTACCTTCGCAAATAATGTGCCCTCACACAAACAATAGAGAGTAGTTCCACACACAATAAAATTCAAGAGCAAATAGAAACTCAAGATAGAAAGAATTCTCTCACTCTCAGAAGTAAAATTCATGCGCCACTGAGAATGTACCATAGGCTTGCCCGTAGTGTAATACTCTACTAATTTAGCTCATTTAGTCCAGGATCAAGTAAGACTTTAATTGGTTGTACTGTAGACAGCGGGACGGGTAGGATACATTTGGATATAGTACTTTAATACATACAATTTCATCATTTAAATCCCACACTTATTTTAAACCGAACTCCAACCTTCACAACATTAAGCTCCCCATATCTTTTAAGTACAAACAAGATGAGAACTACCACTAGCAAGGAAATCAATTTTTTTCTTCTAAGTTTTGATTTTTTTTCTTTTCAAGCAAACTCATTTTTTTTCTATTCCCTACAAATGGCTCTCACATTTTTTCAAACAATGCACATTTCTCCTTTTTTATTAGTTCCACTCAAAAATCTGACCATACCTCAACTTAGCTTTTACAAGCTCATAACAAACTCAAGTGCTCAAGAGAGGTGATAGGTTCAAATAGATAGTCAATTCAAATAAAGTGGATCAGGCTTGCAATGTGGTTGCCAACGAAGTAGGATTACATGCTCAAATGGGCTAACTAAGATACACAACAATTAGTTGGGTAAAACCATCTAATTGGCTCAACAAAGAAAAGCCTATATCACTTCCTAGACTGAACAAGACTACTATTTCGCTTTGCAAATACATGGAGAAAGTTCTAGACATCAACTGACATACACATAATGTCACCAAAATCTCACACACACATTGGCACATAACTCACTTAGGACCGGATCTATCACGACTCTCTAGTCAAAGCAGTTAAGCAGAGTCACAATTAAACAATTTAAGGTACTTATCCATGAGTCAAGAACTAAGCATAGGAGTCACAACTAAGGCACTCACTACTCTCAAGGCACAACAACATCAAGAAAAGCCATCTCCATTTAATACATAGCACAAGACTTCACTAATCCTAAAAAAAACCTAACTACACCCGGTTCAAATAAAACTCTTGGAAAAGAACCGCGGCACAAAGAAAAACCAAGGGAGAATTGTTACACTACCCAGTAAAAATAAAATATAATAAACGGCTAAAAAAAAATTCTTTGACTTTAATCCCTCAAGAAGACAGCCGAGGAAATCCATCGTCGGGAAAAGTCAAAAAAGATTTTCATCAATCAAAAGAAACGAAAACAAACACACATATACATATTTACACCCCCACCCCATAATTTAAATTGTGGCATGTCCCCATGACACAAAAATAAAAAGCAATAGGTAAAGGAAACTTACCTGATTCATCTAGTCAGGGTCTAAATCGAAGTCGAGTTCTCCTTTGTACGCCCGACCTAGTGCACACATCCATGCTGAGAGCTTCTTTTCAACCTTCTTTGGGTACACCCCATACTTATCAGTTTGACTCTCTCCAAGTTGCTCCTTTAGGGCCCCCCTTTCTCCTTCCATCTTAAAGATCAGTCTTTCTTCCCCCCACTCTGAGCATGAGCTACCTTTCCTGAATATCCAGAATTGCTTTGCCCGTAGCCAAGAAGGGTCTTCCTAAAATTAGAGGGACCTCCTTATTCTCCTCCATGTTCACCACAATGAAGTCTACAAGGAACACAAACTTGTCCACCCGAACTAGCACATCTTCCACTATTCCTTCAAGTATGATTGTGGTCTGATCTGCCAGCTGCAAGGACACATGTATCGACCTGATTTCTTCAATCTCTCCCTCCAATTTCCTGAAAATAGACAAAGGCATAAGATTAATGGAAGCACCTGAATCAAACAAAGATTTTTTAAACTTGGTACTTCCTAAAGATCAAGGTATTGTAAAACTCTCTGGATCTCCACATTTTTGAGGAAGCTTATTTTGCAAAATAGCACTACAATGCTCTGTGAGCTTGACAATTGATGTCTCTTCCACTTTTCGAATTTTGGACAATATCTCCTTCAAAAATTTGGCATAAGCTGGCATCTGTGAAAGCACCTCTGTGAAAGGTATATTCACATGCACCTGCTTGAGCACTTCTAGAAAATACTCGAATTGTTTGTCCAGCTTCTCTCTTCTCTGCTTCTGCGAAAAAGGTAGAGCAGGATTATATTTGCTCTCCCCAGTCTCCTCATTTATTGAAATAACATCTTCCTTCTTTTTTTGAGCTCTAGTCTTCCCCTTCTTCTTCAAACCATCATCTACCATCCGTGCACCTTTTTGAGTGTTATCAATTTTCTGCTCCTCCATAATCTCCACATGTCCTTTAATTAACTCATCCTTTTGCTTTGCTATGGGATCCTCCAATTCGTGCCCACTCCTCAAGGGCACCACATTTTTTATCTCTTTTGGATTTCTCTTAGTATCACCAGGGAGAGTTCCTAGAACCCTCTCAGATAATATATTAGCTAGTTTCCCCACATATCTTTCCAAGTTTCGAATGGCCATGCCATGTTCTCTGATAGCTGTGCCATGGGTTTCAAGCCTCTCATTTGTCTTAATAATAAAGGCCTTTATCAGATCTTCTAGGCTAGACTGATTAGATTGTGGAGGATGATATTGTTGCCTCTACTGATTTTGAAAACATGGAGCTCTCTGTCCCTGGGGTCTGGAGTTATTCTTCTGCCATGCATTTGCACTACCAGCTGGTGAACACCAAGAGAAACCTAGGTGCCTCTATCCCATGGAGTTAAAATTGTTGCCACTTTGGTAGTTGCCTCTATCAAAGCTCCTCACAACATTTACTTTAGCTGAATCTTGACACTCATGTGTAGGGTGTCCCATTCCACAAAAGTCACATGCTGCTTGCGACTCACTCCGTACCTTGGCCAATGTTAACTTTTTTTATCTCTATAGCCATGGTGTCTAGCTGGGCTTGCACTGATATGTTAGAATCTACTTGATGAACCCCAACTGATTTTCTTCTATCATTACTCTCAGCAGGCCACTGGTTAGCATCTTCAGAGAACTAATCAAGAATTGCCACAATCTCCTCAGGAGTCTTCTTTATTAAAGGACCTCCAACTGCAGTGTTCAGAGTTCGTCGTGAGGGAGGTGTCAGTCTATTCCAAAAGTCCTGGAGTTGCATCCACAATTTAATCCCATTATGCTGACACTTCCTCATTATCTCCTTGAATTTTTCCCAAGACTCAAAGACTGTTTTAGTGTTCGTCTGGCTAAAGTTGTGAATTTCCCTTCTGAATTTCACTGTTTTTGCAGTTGAGAATTATTTTTCAAGAAACGTTTTAGTCATATCTTCCCATGTCCTGATCGACCTTGGTGGTAAGCTACGAAGCCAGTGCTTCATGACATCCTTCAGTGAAAAGGGGAATGCCGTTAAGTATACTATATCTTTTGACACTCCGTTGTACTGGAAGGTGTTCATGATTTACTCAAAATACATCAAGTGAGTATTAGGATCTTCATTCACCTTCCCTCTGAAGACACATTTGTTATGGATAGTTTGAAGCAAGCCCTACTTCAACTCGAAATTATTTGTTGTACTGGTGGAGGTCTGACACTGGACAGTCCCAGATTGTAGACTGGTCTGGCATAATTACCCAATGCTCTACTAGGCCTGGGTACCTCATTCTCAAACTGGTCTTCAACTAAGGGTCGATTTAGATTGAATCTTTGACCCCCATCATCTTTGATTGTCTCATCGGCAGATCTACAGGCTGCCTCAGCCGCTATCCGTTTAGCTTCTTCTCTATGATGTGCTGCCTCTCTTGCAGCTAAATCTACTTCGTCGTCACTGTTATTATCCATGTGTTCTGGGGTTGAAGGTTTCCCCAAGAACTTTTCGGTGAGCTCTCTCTTTCCTCAGTTGTCGCAGGTGTTTTTCCAACTTCGGTTTGTAGGGTATTACTTCTTTTGAAAAAGATCGAGTCATACACCACGAACTTAACCTGTTGCCAGCACACGGAAGAGAAACCCGTGAAGAATAAAATAAAATAAATTCATGAATTAGCACCAAAACTATTTTGAACACTTTAGATTGCCAATCCCCGGCAACAACGCCAAAATTTGACCAGCGCAAAACACAACATGAAATTCATGCTCACTAGGCAAAGATAGTATAATTTAATTATCGTCTCTGCAGGGATTGTATTTAAATAATGTTTGAGTAATTTGTAGTTTAATTGCTATTCAGGAGGATCAACACTTGAGTTAAATGATTATGAACTACGTTAAACTACTAAAATAAAGAAACTGACAATTGACTTCCCAGAACTAGAGATTAGCAGAGTTGGTTTCTTATTAATGTGTGGAATAAGGGTTTGACAGGATAGGTGCAACATAGCTATTTGGGATTTAACTCTAGTTTAATTCACTCTAATATTCTAATGATTCTCACGAATTCATACGATGATTAGTTCAAATGTGTAGTGAAGACTCCCCTCTCAATTAAATCTTAACTATACGAGGTGTACTTATATAAGCATTGTAAAAGTATGCAAGCATGCATTAATGGATTAGTCTTTAGGAAAACGTCTCTCAAATATTCTACTAACTTGATTTAATCAACAATTCAACAAGATCTTCGATTACTTAAGAGAATCAATGAATTAAACCAAACAAAATAATGCAAATATAATCACCAAAAATATTCCTCTTTCGATTAAATAGACCGGTGAATAAAGTTGCAACAATTCTAAGCTCCATAAACGAATTCAAGCAAAGAACTAGAGTTAAAATCCACAAATATTTATCAAAATACCATATCCATTAAACCCTAAGGAAACTACTTTATAATCATTGAGGAAGTCATCACAAATATAATTAAAGAATAAGAAAACATCAATCTAACGTTACAATCCAAACTTCCGTATTGAATTGATGGAAAGATGATGCTTGTAGCCTCCAATGCTCTCCCAAAGCTTCCAAGGTCAAAAGTCCCTTCAAAAACGTCTTTTTGGAGTATTTGTACCATGTAGGAGTGGGCCCTGATGAATCTAGCCTTTCCAAAATGAAATAGGAAAAATACTGTGAGAAAGTTTTGCATGCGTGCCGCCCCATGCGGGGCGCTAGTGGGAAAGTTCAGAGAGCAACTTCCGACGGACTGCAGCACAAAAACACTACTGTGCCGCCCCATGTGCCGCCCCATGCAGTGCGGCTGTGCAAGTTTCACAGTAAATTGTTTTCTTCATGTTTTGACAACCAGACTTGGCTCCCGACCCCTGAACACGATCCCGGTTTAATCCCTTGGGCTTTTACTCAGACTACAAAGCTCTACATTGTTTGATTTAGTTCCAAATTATCTTTTTAACTCAGAATCACTTCCTACAAGGCATAAACACATAATAAGTGCAATTCACTATCATATAAGCTCAAACCTAAGTAAAATGCAGTAATTGGAGTGCAAACTATGACTAAAACACGGGATTCTAGAGTACCATCGGATTCTCACTAAGGTTCTGAGATCCCGCTTTTGCGGACCACCCAAGCGCATCTGTGCTCTCGCTTCTACAACCACTAGATCTCTTCTATGCGCCTGTATCTACAGAGCACTAACCGCATATGTGGTCCAAACTAGGCAAGACCAAACTCGCTTCTGCGGCTCAAAGGATGCTTCTGCGGTGCCGCACTTGCGACCCAAAGTGCACAGGTGCGATTGCACCAGACACAACTCAGCTTCAGCAATCACACAATTCCAAATTTGATGAGGATTCAATCTGAATCATACCCGGGGCCCCCACGACCCCGTCCGAATATACCAACAAGTTCCAAAACACATAACGGATCTACTCGAGGCAAAAAATCACATCAAACAACATCGATTCTATGAATCGCAACACAATTCAAGCGTATTGAAACTATGAACTTCCGAATTCCAAAACTAATGCCAATTCATACTAAAACAGCTATGATTGACTTCAATTTTTGCACATAAATCATCAATGACATGACGGACCTATTCCAACTTCCAGAATCAGAATCCGACCCCGATATCAATAAGATCAACTCCCAGTCAAACTTCTCAACCTTCCAAACCTTCAACTTTCTAACTTTCGCCAATTCAAGTCGAAACGACCTACAAACCTCCAAATTAACATCCGAACACGCTCCTAAGTCCAAAATCACCATATAGAGCTATTGGAACTATCAAAACTCCATTCTAGAGTCGTCTACACAAAAGTCAAATTACGGTCAACTCTTTCAACTTCAAGCTCCAACTTAGAGACTATATGTCCCATTTCACTTCAAAACTCACTCGAAACCAAAACCAAACATCCCCAACAAATCACATAACCATAATACAACATGGAGGAGGCAATAAGTAGGGGATCGGGGCTAAAATACTCAAAACAGCCGGCCGGGTCGTTACACTCATGTACTCGGTGACACTCGGATTTTGGGAATTTTCTTTTCGAGTCGCAATTATTCTTATTGGTTATTTATGAGATATTAACTGTTAAAATTATTTCATCATGCTTTTAATTCAAAATGCATAGTTATTTATGATTGTCGGCTTGAATAGTACTGTGTTAGGCACCATCACGACATGTTAAAATTTGGGTCGTGACAAGTTGGTATCAGAGCCTAGGTTACATAGGTCTCACGAGTCATGAGCAGGTTTAGTAGAGTCTTGGGGATCAGTACAGAGACGTCTATACTTATATTCGAGAGGCTACCAAACTACTAGGAAACTTCACTTTCTTGTATTCTTGTCATGTGAATTTGTTGATTTCAAGAACTAAACTTGTATTATTCTATTCTCTCACAGATGGTGAGGACATATGCTACCGGATCAGGATGACGACTACCAGTACCACCAGCTAGGGCCATGAGAGGCCGGGGCTACGGTAGAGGCCAAGGTACAGCTCATACAACAGCTAGAGCAGCACCTGTGGAGCCATCCGTTGCTCTAGTTTAGGAGACGATTCCAGATGTGGTTGAGCCGGTGGGACCAGCTCAGGCACCAGCTATGCCAATTGTGATTCTAGGCCTTCAGAAAACTTTGGCCCATCTATTGACGGTATGCACTAGCCTTGCTCATGCGGTTTCAGTTCAGATCACACTAGCCACTTCTTAAGCCTGGGGAGGTGCTCAGACTCCCGCTGCCCGTACTTCAAAGTAGGTGGTTCAGGGACTTCAGACACCAGACGTACTACCAGCCTAGCTGGTTATAGTTGCTCAGGCCCAGGTGGGTCCACCTATGAGTGACGAGGAGCAGAAGATGACATAGTGGTTTGGGAGGCTCAGGCCTCCAACATTCAGTGGGGCTGAGTCAGAATATACTCCGGACTTCAAAGACAGGTGCCAGCGGATTCTTTGCATGACGGGTATTCTGAAGACTAGTGGAGTCTCATTTACTACTTTTTTCAGCTCTTGGGGGAAACCTTCAGATGGTGGGAGGCCTATGAGTTGAGCAAGCCAGCCGGCACTGCACCACTTACATGGAATGAGTTCTTTGTTCTTTTCTTAGAGTAGTTTGTTCCACAGAC